GTGTATTTTAATTAATGCGTACCTCTGTATACATCTACACACACAATCACACATACACACGATCGGCTCAACGATCACATAAGACCAATTGGGTTGGCTGCGAACCGTGTGTTGGGTCTTTATCAAATCACATTTATTTGGACCGTTAGCAATTGGCGAGGTTCCCCACACTCCTCTAGCTCTAGCCATATTTGATCAATGCTCTAACTCTAACCTAGACCAGCAACGCCAAACACAGTATGGATTTGAAAATTTGTTATATACAATATACCCCTAAAGAATAAAATAATATACTTCCTATGAAAGTTGCACCCAAAAAATGATTTATTTTTTTGCTCAAAAGATAAGTCAATTTCTTCGGCATGTAACAGGCAATATGTAGTGGAGCAGAGACAGTTTTCGCGATGTAAAGACCACGCGTTTTGTAAGGATGTGTTAAACTACAACACAAATAAATTATCTCATCTCCACCATTAAACGGCTTGAACATATACTGTGCATACAACCTAAAATGTAAAAAAGATAATACTCTACTGTTAGGAAAATGAAGAAAACGTGGTGATTCCTTACAAAAACTGCCGATTTTTAGATTGTTAAGAGGTTAGAAGATTATGTTTGAACGTGGTGCTCAATCCAGATTATAGACTAGTGTGAATAATATAATTTTTACAGTCCCGGATCTTCACATCCTATGACTCTACGCTCTAGCCAGGAACTATAGTTCAGCCCCAGCATTACCATGCATAAAACTACAAAAACCCATTTTTGTGATTGGCGGGATTTGAACCCCTGATCTTGGGGGCCAACACCCCACGCTTATACCAGCTCACTCCCTTTCAAATACTAGGATTATTACCACAAAAGTCTTTTACACAACAAATACTACATCGACATGAAACAATGACAGCAATATAGTGCAAGATATATGTTTGCAAAAGTAGCTACAATCCAATAAATTCCAACCAAGGACGATTTGGTCGAATGCAATTCACCTGGATAAAAGTGGAACTGAATTAATTCTGATCGCCCTTTTATTTAAACTCGCTGATATTGAATTTATATTCATTTAACTGGTATCACCAGCATTAAAGCTGTGGTTCTCAATCTTCGCTTTGAGCATGTAATACTGATAAATACTTCTACATTCATAATGTTATCTCTTACTACACATATACGTCAACCACCTTCCCCTCAAACAACCTTAAACAGCATTCCCCTGACCATCTAAATGGCTGTGACAGGTAATCTATTTAGTTCTCTAATAAGCAACCCAACGAAATATAATTTTCAACACACTGTGATGTTTTTATCGGTTTACATACGTTAATTGGTGGCTAAAAGTAACCTTTTGCTGGTCATGCCAGCTGCCATCGTCATTTGGGGACCGAGCAGGTTTTTACATCCCTAGGGCGGCAAAATCAGCTGCCCCAAGGCCACACTACTTTATAAACAACTAGCTGTACCCGCGGGCTTTGCCCCGTTCAACTTCACAAGTGAGCTCGTTCGCATGGCTCAATCACGTCCTGGTTGAAGTTCGTTCGCTACGCTCACTCACCTTTAGGTTGGAGCTCGTTCGCTCCGCTCACTTGCCTTTAGGTTAGCTCGTTCGCTACGCTAACTCGCTTCCAGGTTGAAGTTCGTTCGCTACGCTCACTCACCTTTTAGTTGCAAATTGGCTGCAGTCATAAATTTAAACAACTACTGGTAAAACTGGTCACTATTTATTATTATTTTTGCTGATTCCTCATATAATTTCTTCACATAACCTTAAAGTTGTCGTTGTGTTGACTGTTAGTGTGCATTATTATCGTGGTTAATAGTGGTAATAGGGTATAGTGTACTCATTTTCCGCAAAACTATATAGTGTACGGTATAGTGTGTTGAAAAATAGCGTTCGTACCACGGACCGAGATGGTTTTGCTACTCATACTATACTAATTTTATAAAAACTATCAAGAGCCGGCAAAAACCTAATTTTCGGGCCAAGGTTCGAAATATACTATTTCACACCACATCTACTCGTTATATACAGTCTGTATGATAAAACATGTCTCCTGAACCTTCGTCTACCTAGGACTAACTCGGCCTAAAACCATTGGCCTGACCCCAAGTGAGGAGGGTCAAGAGAAAGGTTAGTGATGATTTGACAGACCGCCATTTGAACGAATCTAGAATTTGTTGATGAGATTATCACTCAATAAGTTAAGTATATTGATTTAGGATAATTTTCTAAACAATTATTCAAATTAGCCTCAATAAAGTATGTGTATGGTGGGAAAGCTGTGTTAGGATGTTGTCCATTCGTTCTGATACATTAAACACGCTTCGGATCATCAACAGCATCCGGTGTATGGAGATGACTCTAGTATTCTTGATATCCTAGCATACTGGCATCTCATATGTGCGTATAATACTCAAATCATACGATAAGAACTACAAAAATAGCAATACAATATATGTTAAATTGTTTAGTTTATTGCTTTTGCAATTTGTTTAGTTCAATCAAATATGGTTTAAAACTTGTTAGTCCTAAATTATACTCCTCGCAACGGTTAGTAGTGCACGATGATCAATATTTTTTTTCTTCATACTGCAGCAAAAACAGACGTTTTTAATGCATTTGGGGGTCTAAAGTAGCTCTTTTCCTAGGGAATGAATCAACTTTTCTAAACTCAGTTATAAACTTCAATTGTAAATAATAGCGTTTATCGAAATTAGGTATCGATTGTTTGAATCGGTTGTAGCATTGACTAATTGGATACTGAAGATAGTGAAAGGTTGTAGCTATGGTTGCATTCTTGTCAATCGTTTGACATATCGATAGTGATGTACAGTAACACAATCGTAATAGACGAAATGATTGAATCACTTAAAAAACGGATGCTTATTTGCATTAGCAAAATATAGAACTAGTCAGAAGTTGTTTTGGGCGGTTATCTTTACATGAAAATTATTTTCGTTTTGTAACTTAGTGTCCTTTATAATAACACAATATGGTGAAAAATGTAGTACATCACACGGGCAAAGGGTGTATTTTCAACCCTCACTCATTTTCCGCAAAACTAAAGTGTGATCTAAAAGTTACTTTTTGCCCTATTGATCTCATAACCCCTTAAATAAAATAAAAGACCTTTTAGTTAATATCAACCAATAATCAAATTCTTCTGGTATTTTAATATAATACGTGTGTAGATTAAACGCAAGGTTGGATTAAACGTACGGAAACGACATGTTTCAGTGGTACATGAATGTTAATTTCTTCGTACCTAAAGAATGTGAACTGTATAAATTATAGCTTTTAGCTAAGTTGGTTTGCGTGTTCACCTTCACTGCGTAGTGCAGATAGTTGTTTGATTTCAGTGAGCTTCGCTTGGGGAATGTTTAAGGGATTTCGGTTATAAGATTAGAAAGTTAATATAACAAATTCTAAAACTCTCAGAAATCACACATACGTATACGTAATAATGGTTGACTGAATTAAATGTAAACATTACATGATGCTAATATTAAATAACACTATTTTGATAGTCTGTATGATGGAACCTGTCTCTTGAACTCAACCTGGGACTGTCCCAGACCTTATAAACCATTGGCCAGTCCCCAGGGAGAGGTGTCAGGAGACAGGTCCCTTCACACAGACTATAATTTGCGTTCGTAAAAAGTAAATTTTGACCTAACTAATAATACTAATTGGAAACAGCCTCGATGAAATATAACGATAATAAATTACTTATGATGGTATATACTAACTACACAATACCGAAGTGAAAAAAGAAGAAAAAAACTAAGAATATGAATAAGTATAAAATGTACATATCTAGAAGTTCTTAAAACTGTTTTCATCCATGATAAACTTTTCAGAAATCCCAACTGAACTTGCATAATACTGTAATAGGAGTCTCCACCGAAGTTTTATAATTCGTTGAGTTTTGAATCACACAGATTTACGATGAATTAAATTCACCAGCCAATGACTGTGAAAGTTTTTTTACATTTTTAAGCAGTTTAAAATTTCATTGTTGATGTTAGCCTCCGGATTACGTTGAATATAAAAATTGGTGTAAATACCTGCTTCTTGTAATCCAAATTGTTGCTGTTATGACGCAACTAGTTTCGACTTATCCCGACATCCCCTGGACTTATCTTGACATCCCCTGGACGCCCGAAGATGACTTCGTGATAAGTCGAAACTAGTTGCGTCATAACAGCAACAATTTGGATTACAAGAAGCAGGTATTTACACCAATTTTTATAGTTTAAAATTGTTCCCTACTATTATAATTCGAGTACTGGAAGGTAATAATTGCTTTTTAATAACTTGCTATCACCAGTTATTTTTTAATTAATTTGCTTAGTTTCCTGGCCTTGACTTTTGTTGATATTACTTCAGGCTAGATTTTGCGGAATTATGACATGAATAAATTCCATTGGTGATTGGTGGGTTTTGAACCCGGGGCCTCAAGTCCTATGCTCTACCACTAGACCAGCTCGCTCTCCTGCTGTTACCAGTGGACGTTATGTTTATTTTTTTAATACAAAATTGATTATAAAGAAAACTAACGATTGTTTCTAAATAATGAAGAGTGTCTGAAAAGAGTGTGTGAATTATCATTCTTTGCCATTACTTATATTTAAACGTCTAAATAAACCAGTAATAACTGCTGTTTCCTTTTTTAATCCTTCCAATGATTCAGTTCTTCATTATAAAATTGATTATAATTTGAACTTAACTATAACCTTTGGTCAATACTATACTTTTTTCTTCTAGATTGAATCACAACAATCAAAACTGATAACTGTTCTGCCCCTGGTGACAATGAAGAATATGGCTGCCAAATAATGTTAACTCCTGATACCTCACTTTATACATAAGGAGTTTGCGAGATTTTGGAATACAGTACATTTCATTGAGAGAAAGCTAATATATTAAAGATGCATAATTTGTGACTTAGTTTTAAAGAATGTTTTCGTAATTAAGTCGACATTCAAAACTGCATTACCTTGAAAACTGCTCCAAAACAACTTCGGCACGACTTGTTCTCCATCTGTGATTTCATAGTAAATTTCCACACTAAACACGAAATCTAAGTCACAATTTTAATATACTTATGTTCGCTTATAATTTCAAAATACATTGATTAAATAAAGTGTTCACATTTGAGAGCGCAAACTACACTGGCCATGACACTCAGTAAGGCGGATGACATTGTTATTGTCCATCACTGGATACCCCTCCCCCGGCCCCCTGTAAAACCCCTTACCCACATAGGGGGTTATGTGGGAGGGGGGCAGATTGTTAAAGAGCGATAGTAATCACCAAGGGACGATTCGGTTATGCGATACGATTATATCAATCCTATAAAATAAGTCGAAATCTTTTTTAACCTTATTGAGTCAAAATGCAGAGTTGGTACAGACTTAATAGTAATGAAAACAAATTTAGATCCAAAATACAGTATACACTGAAAGAAAAATTCAATTTTTTAAGTTACTTAAATAAAATAACCCCAACCAAATGTAAAACAAACCCCCAATAATGTATTGTTTTATATCTCTTCCAATAATTTGAACAATTCGTCTTCCTTGCTTACAGATTGACAAAAGTCTTCCCTCTATCAAGCATTAGCTTGTAAATTTTTAATTGCGAAATCAGTCAAAAAAAATCTAGAGGTATTATTATAAGACAAAAACTTTGCTTTGACAATAGCACTTGAACAAATGCTCAAATTAAATCTTAATAATACTAATACGAATTTACTCTTAAGAGATCCTTAAAAATAACCGTTGAAGGAGATTGGTAAGCCACGTGTTATAAAAGCCTTCAGTTTGATGTGACGATGCGGGCAGCCTTACAATGTGCAACAATGGTATGTACAGGGCCAATCCCGTGGCATTGTCCCTACTTAACAATTAACATAACTTACACGTGATACTGTCAGTAAAGTGTGTTTTTAAAGGAATAAATAAACATATTAGTGCAAAGATCTGATTCATATATTTTGGGGATTACATAAGTGTTTATTAAGATGGGTATTGAATCGATCTAATAATTTCTGAGCTAAGGCTTGTCCAATAATGTGTCATTTGGTGTATCATTCTATCTGGATTTGACTACTATTCAGTCATAATTTCATCACACGGAGCGAAAGTGTCTTTTTGGGACTTAATCGTATTTCCAGGCTACCAAAAAGATCAACTTTCGCTCCTAGTGATGAAACCCAATTATTCTATAATATTACACTGATTTATAAACCCGTAGTACATTAATAACACACCGATATTTTTATCATCACACAACACTGTAGAGATAATTTGATAAATAGGAATTCAGTGACTCCATTGACACAAAGGGTAGATTTTATAGCTTTTTATTTAAACCATCAACTAAATCAGTAACAAAAGACCACCTCACGCTTTAAATTACAGTAATTACTGTAATTTATTTGTCACTAAGGTAATTATTCTGAAACGTTAAATAATTTTGTCACAGCTTACTGGTATTTTATCAGGAAACCAATTAGTGATTGGGAAACGTTTCGGTTATCAATCAGGACTCGAGTGATGATTTATTCACTAAAACAAAATCGTTTATCCTCAATGAATTGCTAATTTAATCAATTTTTCATTTTGAGTCGAGTCCCCAACAAACTCTTTTACTTTATATAGAAACAAAATGTGTTTTAGAATAATGATTAATCTGAAAGGTAATATATTTTTTTATAAATTTTACTGGATTGGAGGTCTTTGAATTCCAGTACCATATACCATATAGGTTTTTGTTATATATTCCAAAAATCTATGTTTTATTTTAATATTGATCATATGACTGGAATAGTTTCACATTGTAAATAGTTCAATGTTTACCTTTTATTATTAAGAAATAAAAATGTTTCTAAAGTTTTGCTCATATATTTTGTATTAATTCATATTTAAACGTTTTTGAAATCCAGAGTCATATAACTAGGTTTACGAAAACCACTGCCACTTCTTTATAGTACTAGGATTGCTTTCATAGCAGTGAAAGCCAGTTGAGCGGAGTGATCGTTTCATGCTTTATAATAAAAGCAATAAATAAATAAAATGTTTATAGATATAATACAAAATACAACTATTTCATAGGTTTAACTTATCAGTTTCGCTCTGAACTATCAATATATATAACAAGTTTAATAGTAAAGATGTGGACATTACATACATATCCTTTTGTATCGGTATGTTTTGCTGTGTTTGCTTGCTAATGTCATCTTGTGAACCAACCGTTCTGGTTGAACCCGACCTTGAACCTAAACAAATCGACATTTTCTCAATCTATGCCAGATTTTGCAGTTCAGGCAAAAATAATCCTGCATGGATCCATACGATTAGCAGATGTAACTTTTTAAAGACTCGTCTGCTTTGAGTGAATTGCACAAATAGTTGTCACCGTACCTTATGAGGTTTCTTTTCTTAAGATTTGTACATTTAACATAATTATGAAAACTTTTGTTTTCAAGCAAGTAGTGTTCTACATCCAAATATCTCAAAACATTGCCAAAAGTAGTTATTCGTGCGTTTCGGGCGTTAATTACTCGTCTTCATTTTCTACAAATCAGGCAGTTTTTGAGAATGCACTCAGAAAAATTCTTAATATGACACTCTTATGCGAATTAGGTATTTTCTTGTAAAACGAAAACGCAAAAAATTCTTTATCCTACTTGGGCAATAGTATACCCCAAGTAGTTGCCAACACAATAACAACCTTACAACAAGTATGTTGCCAACACGATGATATAACAAATATTTCAAAGTAAATTTTTCCCCACAGTTCTTATTCACAATATGTCTCAACCTCTTTAATATTGTCCACCTCCTATTATATCTAATATTTAGGTCTCCTTAATATTCTACTATTATCTTCTTCTTGATACTTTTATTTCCTGGACCCTACCACTTACAATTATATCTATATATATCTTAATAGTTTCAATTTTTCAGTTCTCACAAATCTTTTTGTACGAATAACAAATAAAAACAGCTATCCCAAAATTTCATAAACTACTTATTACAAAAAAAATATATTTATGCAAATATACATCCACTATTCAATAATAAAAGAATAACGAAACATGTTTTCAACTGATGTTGAAAATTTTCTGTGTGAAGTGGATCGCACAATCCATTAGTCTAATTATAATGACGAATACATCTGCAATGTGTGGACACATGGAATTGGACACGGCTATTGGATTAAGCCATTACAGAAATACATTCAGCATTACAAGTGAAATAATTCTAATACATGTAATAATCTAATAAATCCGTGTGCGGTTTGTCATGGGTTTTCATAATTCGTTTACGAAATAAAAGAAGATTAATTTAATTGTTGTTACAATTGATCAACTCTCAGTTGACATTATCCCGAGCACACAGGCTACGTAGGAAAGACGTGTATGGTATGATTGATTTTACACTAGAGAAATAGAAAGTCAATTTTGTTAAACGTGTTTCGATTCTTCCATTCCAAAATATGTTTACACGTGCGCTGGCTTCCATATTTTCCCGGGAAATACCAACAACAACTCTTAATTATATAGAGAATAACTAATATTGGTTTTCTCAAGAACGAATATAATCCTGCCGAATAATATACCTAGAGAATAAATTTCTTTGGCATGTGATATTTACCCTTAGCTAATATCAAGTTATTCCGGTAAAACGTTAAATATAGCAGACAGTACCTTGTTAATTTAAAAACCCGACGTAAATGAGGAACCAATACCCAGAAAAAAAGTTAAATGAAGAACACCAATGGACATTTGGCATAAGAAAAACTCTAGAAGATGTAACAAATTGTTTGTCATAGTGAGCGGTATCACAAATTGTACAAAGACTCAAAAATCGCTCCTTAATATCCATTTTTACCCTCACGTAAAAGTATTATTAGTTACAAGTAATTAATTACAAGTAATGTTCAAATATGTTAATATGAGCAAAGAAGAAAACTGTCAAGGTTTCAAAAGGCGGATACGGAAATACTCAATACAGTAAACAAGTTAAAATACCGGACGGCTTTTTGGCAGTCTGTAGAGCATTTTGGCAACTCTACCTTACCAGCTACCAAATCGTCTGCCAGTTTGCCGAATGGTTATAGTAATCGCCTTCAAGCCTGAGGGTCGCTGGTTCGATTCCAAGCGAGATCATTACCCGACCCGGATGTCATCTGTCATGGGGCTATCATAAATTAACTAATAATGCTTTCTACCAGCATGATGACGTTAGTTTCTAACAGACCAGAGTGTGGACCCTTCCCTCACAAAAAAAAACAGGTAAAGGCCCCTGGCGTAGAAAAAACACAAAAAGATTAAAAAATCAACTGCCGACGACATTCAACTGCCTCTATTGTTACTTGAGTTAATTTTTGAAACATTAAAAATATAGATTGGCAAAGAGGAACCAGAACCGGCTTTTTCATTGAAAATTTCAAACACGAAATGTCAAAAATGTTCTATTGTTATTATCACTACTGTAATAAAGCTCACTGTAAGTTAGCTTAAACCAGAGATGCATTTTATATATGTTTCTTCTAACTTTGTCAATCACACTGTTGTATAAAACAAAAAATATATTTGGCAAATTTTAATCTTCAACAAGTGCACAATTAGAGAAAAAAACATTTCAAAACACTAAATAAATCACCCAATTTGCAACAGAAACCCAGACCACCAATCGGTTTTTCTAAACAACCAGGAACGCCGGCCGCTAGGCACCACATTGTCGTTAAAACTCCCTCCGAAAACTCCCTCCAAAAATCTACCTTCTTATTGTTATCACTCACCTTGACGGACATGGCCGGCCTTGTTATCAGTTACACCATCCTCACGGACACAAGCACGCGACACATGGTACACTAGGCACCTAGCACACACCTGGACATAGACACACCCCCTAGCAGACGACATGTATTGATCCGGTGGCGCGTGCGCGATACATCGACCACCTACCGAGTAGTCGAGTGGTCCAGAGCTTCGACCTATCGATTGGTTGCTGAATGTTCGACTGTTTGGATATGGTTTGAGTTGTCGGTGTTTATTTTATTGATTTTTAACCTATAATTAGAGTATGGTTATGTTTGATTGTTTTACTTAGAATAAAATTGAATTAAAATTGTTTCAATTATGTTGCTCTGG